ATGTAGGTACACACACACACACACACACACACACACACACACACACACACACATACATATATATATATATCTATATATATGTATACATATATACATATATATATATATATATATATATATATATATATATATATATATATATATACATATACATATATATATATATATATATATATATATATATATATATATATATATATATATATATATATATTTTTTTTTTTTTTTTTTTTTTTTTTTTTTTTCCATGTGTGTGTGTGTGTAAGTGTATGTATGTATGCGTGTGTGTGTGCATATGTATGCGCGCGTGTGTCTGTGTCCGTGTCTATGTTTGTGTGTATGTATGTATGCGTCTGTGTTCATATTTGCTAAATATACATGTATGAATGAAAAGGCTGAAGTCGGGAGCACGAGAGCGGCTGCGTGTAAATGAAGGGAAAACTTGGCCAACTCCGGTGACTCTCCTCTGACCAGCTAATTGGGCGACGGAGAGAAGTTTTGGAAGCTGCAAAAGAAATAGCATCGGGTTTTGCTTAGGAATTGGGTTAGTCGCATAAAACTGTATATTATATATTTTTTTCTTAGTGTATTTTCTTTTTTTTTATGTATGTGTTTCTATTTGCCTGTCTGTCTCAATATCTCTCTCTTAGTATATATATATATATATATATATATATATATATATATATATATATATATATATATATATATATATATATATATATATATCCAGTACTTGTGATTTTCTCTCGCCATTTCCCACGTGAAAAATTCTCCCTGAAACCCTATGTCTCGAATCCCATGTAAATTTCACTCCCATGCGACCGCCATAGACGTCGAGGGTAGAAAGAGAGATGGCGGGGGTGAAAGAGGGTTGAAGAGATAGAGAGGAGAGAAGGGAGGGAGAGGTCGAGATTGGTGGGGAGAGAGGAAGAGAAAGATATATATATATATATATATATATATATATATATATATATATATATATATATACACATGGAACATTTTCTCTTTCTTCCTTAAGAATTGATCATCATAGCTACTGCAACCATTTTCTTTTGGGGAATTGAAATTATTTATGAATGAAAACATTTATTGACATTTCTCCGTTAATAACCATTAGCATCTTGACAGTGATATACTGTCGATGTCTCAATAACTGTTGTCACGTAATCGACTGCTTCTTTAACGTACTCTGTCTGGTAAACCGTCTTGAGGATTGGCCAGGCGTTAGTCATGGTCGTCGTTAAATACACTGGTAAGTATGTGAAGGAAGTGAACACGTCAACTTGAGTGTATGTTTGAGTGGCTGTCGTGGAGCGGTCACAGTCTTCACAACAGATGCCGTCGATACAGCCGTGGCAGCAGTTGTCCCCACAACCTGTGTCACGTGCTCTTCAAGACCGGTAGCCGAGTATGTAATGCTGATGGTTTGTTGTTGATAGCTGGTATAGGTGTATGCCCGAATCTTCTCTCTGATCTTCAGTTGGGTGACGTAGTGTGTGGAGGAAGCCAGCTGTGGCGCCTGGTACTGGGTTACCGTTTCCGTGTGAGTGATAACGTAAGGCACACAGTCCGTAGTGGTAACGCTGACAGAGGTCGGTACAACATCCAGGAGAGTGACGGTGGAGACGACGGTGCTGACGTGCAGTCGAGTACTCGTCAGAGACACAGACGAAAACTCCTCTTGACACGCCTTCACAGGTAAGTCTGGCTCAAGTCCTTCGCAAGTTGCAAGCAAAGAGAGGGCCGTCCAGAGAACCAAAGTCTTCATGTTGAAACTCATACTGATTTTATGGCTGTTTCAAATGATGAACTGTGCTCGTGTCGGCGTGGCGACTTTTTATACCAATTTGTGGCAGGGGAACTTGGTCATCCAGGTGTGAGATCTATAGCTAGAGGTAATTTCATCCCAAAGTCACCGGGAACAAGGGTATTTCAACATGGACTAATACCTCATCCTAACAATATGTTCGCAAGTTTGTCTTACAAAAGAAATTATTTTAAAAAATCTTATAATTTCTATATGTAAAACGATATCATATTCATTCTATACACAAAGATATGCTGTATACTGAATTACAATATATGTATGACGAAATATGTTGTATAGGTATTGAAATGTACTGCATGTATAGTGAAACATGCAATAAGTATGATATAACATCTGACATGTATAATGAGGTATTTGTTATGTAATGAAATATACAATATTTATTAAGGAAATAACAATGTGTAGGTAGTATAATAAATTGCAGTTATGTAACATTAATGTGACAGCAGTCGTATACATAATGAATACTTTATGCATAATAAAGGTTGTATGCATAATGAATGCATAAAGAATACAGTATGCATAAAGAATGTATGCTTAAAGAATGTTGTATGCATAATGAATGTATGTAAATGCATAATAAATGTTGTATTTATAATAAATGTTGTATTTATAATAAATGTTGTATTTATAATAAATGTTGTATTTATAATAAATGTTGTATTATAATAATGTTGTATCTATAATAAATGTTGTATTTATAATAAATGTTGTATTTATAATAAATGTTGTATTTATAATAAATGTTGTTTATAATAAATGTTGTTGTATTTATAATAAATGTTGTTTTTAATATTAATGTATTTATAATGTGTTGTATTTTAATAAATGTGTATTATAATAAATGTATTTATAATAAAATGTTGTATTATAATAAATTTGTATTTATAATAAATATTTATAATAAATGTTGTATTTATAATAAATGTTGTATTTATAATAAATGTTGTATTATAATAAATGTTGTATTTATAATAAATGTTGTATTTATAATAAATGTTGTATAAATGTTGTATTTATAATAAATGTTGTATTTATAATAAATGTTGTATTTATAATAAATGTTGTATTTATAATAAATGTTGTATTTATAATAAATGTTGTATTTATAATAAATGTTGTATTTTAATAAATGTTGTATTTATAATAAATGTGTATTTGATAATAAATGTTGTATTTATAATAAATGTTGTATTTATAATAAATGTTGTATTTATAATAAATGTTGTAATAAATGTGTATTTATAATAAATGTTGTATTTATAAAAATGTTGTATTTATAATAAATGTTGTATTTATAATAAATGTTGTATTTAATATGATGTTGTATTTAATATAATAAATGTTGTATTTTAATAAATGTTTGTATTTATAATAAATGTTGTATTTATAATAAAATGTATTTATAATAAAATGTTGTATTTATAATAAATGTTGTAAATGTTGTATTTATAATAAATGTTGTATAATAAATGTTGAATAAAATGTATGCGTAATAAATGTATGCGTAATAAATGTATGCGTAATAAATGTATGTAATAAATGTATGCGTAATAAATGTATGCGTAATAAATGTATAATGTATGCGTATGCGTAATAAATATGCGTAATAAATGTATGCGTAATAAATGTATGCGTAATAAATGTATGCGTAATAAATGTAATAAAATGTATGCGTAATAAATGTATGCGTAATAAATGTATGCGTAAAAAATGCGTAATAAATGTATGCGTAATAAATGTATGCTAAATAAATGTATGCGTATAAATGTATGCGTAATAAATGTATGCGTAATAAATGTATGCGTAATAAATGTATGCGTAATAAATGTATGCGTAATAAATGTATGCGTAATAAATGTATGCGTAATAAATGTATGCGTAATAAATGTATGCGTAATAAATGTATGTAATGTATGCGTAATAATAAAATGTATGCGTAATAAATGTATGCGTAATAAAATGTATGCGTAATAAATGTATGCGTAATAAATGTGCGTAATAAATGTATGCGTAATAAATGTATGCGTAATAAATGTATGCGTAATAATGTATGCGTAATAAATGTATAATAAATGTATGCGTAATAAATGTATGCGTAATAAATGTATGCGTAATAAATGTATGCGTAATAAATGTATGCGTAATAAATGTATGCGTAATAAATGTATGCGTAATAAATGTATGCGTAATAAATGTATGCGTAAATGTATGCGTAATAAATGTATGCGTAATAAATGTATGCGTAATAAATGTATGCGTAATAAATGCGTATATGCGTAATAAATGTATGCGTAATAAATGTATGCGTAATAAATGTATGCGTAATAAATGTATGCGTAATAAATGTATGCGTAAAATAAATGTATGCGTAATAAATGTATGCGTAATAAATGTATGCGTTAATAATAAATGTATGCGTAATAAATGTATGCGTAATAAATGTATGCGTAATAAATGTATGCTAATAAATGTATGCGTAATAAATGTATGCGTAATAAATGTATGCGTATGCGTAATAAATGTATATGCGTAATAAATGTATGCGTAATAAATGTATGCCTAATAAATGTATGCGTATAAATGTATGCATAATAAATGTATGCATAATAAATGTATGCATAATAAATGTATGCATAATAAATGTATGCATAAAAATGTATGCATAACAAATGTATGCATAAAAATGTATGCATAATAAATGTATGAATAATAAATGCTAAATGCATAATGAATGCTGAATGCATAACGAATGTTGTATACATAATGAATGCTTTATTATGGTGAATGTTGTATGCATAATAATGTTATATGTATAATGTATGTTGTATGTATAACGAATTGCTGTTACATACAGCAATGTGCTATAATTTAAAAGGAAATACACAATGTGGTAAGTATAATAAATCGCAATTTATAAAAGAAATGTGACAAAAGTCGTATATAAGGAACAGTTGCTACGTACAGTGAATGTGCAATATGTTTAACTAATTTATTTATGTATGAGAGTGTGCCGTATGTAGATAATGTAATGAAGCGTATTTATACAGAAACGCGCAGTATAAATGATGGAACTTTTTTCTCTTTCTTCCTTAATCATTGATCATCATAGCTACTGTAACCATTTTCTTTGGGGGAAAAAATTATGAATGAACTCAACATTTATTGATATTTCTCCATTAATAACCATTAGCGTCTTGACAATCATATACGGTCGATGTCTCAATAACCGTTGTCACATAATCAACTGCTTCTTTAACGTACTCTGTCTGGTAAACCGTCTTGAGGATTGGCCAGGCGTTAGTCATGGTCGTCGTTAAATACACTGGTAAGTATGTGAAGGAAGTGAACACGTCAACTTGAGTGTATGTTTGAGTGGCTGTCGTGGAGGCGGTCACAGTCTTCACAACAGATGCCGTCGATACAGCCGTGGCAGTAGTTGTCCCCACAACCTGTGTCACGTGCTCTTCAAGACCGGTAGCCGAGTATGTAATGCTGATGGTTTGTTGTTGATAGCTGGTATAGGTGTATGCCCGATTCTTCTCTCTGATCTTCAGTTGGGTGACGTAGTGTGTGGAGGAAGCCAGCTGTGGCGCCTGGTACTGGGTTACCGTTTCCGTGTGAGTGATAACGTAAGGCACACAGTCCGTAGTGGTAACGCTGACAGAGGTCGGTACAACATCCAGGAGAGTGACGGTGGAGACGACGGTGCTGACTTGCAGTCGAGTACTCGTCAGAGACACAGACGAAAACTCCTCTTGACACGCCTTCACAGGTAAGTCTGGCTCAAGTCCTTCGCAAGTTGCAAGCAAAGAGAGGGCCGTCCAGAGAACCAAAGTCTTCATGTTGAAACTCATACTGATTGTTATGGCAAGCTGTTTCAATGATGAACTATGCTCGGTAACGGCGTGGCGACTTTTTATACCAATTTGTGGCAGGGGAACTTGGTCATCCAGGTGAGATCTATAGCTAGAGCTAATTTCATCCCAAAGTCACCGGGAACAAAGGTATTTCAACATGGACTAATACCTCATCCTAACAATATTTTTGCAAGTTTGTCTTACAAAAGTAATCAAATATTAAAAAGTTTCTTATAATATCTATATGCAAATAATTTACCATTTATTCTAAACATAAAGATATGCTGTAAACTAAATTGCAATATATGTATGACGAAATATGTTGTATAGGTAATGAAATGTACTATATGTATAGTGAAACATGCAATAAGTATAATGTAATATCTAATAAACATGTATAAAATATCTATAGCTAGAGCTAATTTCATCCCAAAGTCACCGGGAACAAGGGTATTTCAACATGGACTAATACCTCATCCTAACAATATGTTCGCAAGTTTGTCTTACAAAAGTAAGCAGTTCTTTTTTAAAAATCTTATAATTTCTATATGCAAACGATATCTATATTCATTCTATACACAAAGATATGCCGGATACTGAATTATTATATGTATGACGAGAATATGTTGCATAGGTATGAGAAGTACATGCAATAGTATGATATTATGATATGTATAATGAGGTATATGTTATGTAATGAAATATACAATATTCATAAGGAAATACACAATGTGTTCAGTATTGCATTAAGCAAAATTAATGTGACAACAGTCATATGTTAAATTAATGTTTATGCATAAAGAATGTATGCATAATGAATGTTATATGCATAAAGAATGTTGTAAGCATAAAGAATGTTGTATAATGGGTGTGTGTATAATGAATGTTGTATGTATAATGAATGTTGCATGTATATGCTGTTACATACAATCGAAATACACAATGTCGCAGGTATAATAAATTGCAATTATGTAAAATGAATGTGACAGTCGTATGTATAAGGAATGTATGTAAGGAATTGCTGCTAAATACAATGAATGTACAATATGTTTCATTAATTGTAGTTATATATGTGGAGTGATGGATTCAAACTAAATGTACTGAATGTAGATAATGAAATGAAGCGGATTTATCCAGAAACGCGCAGTGTAAATGTATAGAACATTTTCTCTTATTTTTGGGGGAATTTAAAAGATTTATAAATGAACTCAACATTTATTGATATTTCTCCATTAATAACCATTAGCGTCTTGACAATCATATACTGTCGATGTCTCAATAATTGAAATCAACTGCTTCTTTAATGTACTCTGTCTGGTAAACCGTCTTGAGGATTGGCCAGGCGTTAGTCATGGTCGTCGTTAAATACACTGGTAAGTATGTGATGGAAGTGAACACGTCAACTTGAGTGTACGTTTGAGTGGCTGTCGTGGAGGCGGTCACAGTCTTCACAACAGATGCCGTCGATACAGCCGTGGCAGTAGTTGTCCCCACAACCTGTGTCACGTGCTCTTCAAGACCGGTAGCCGAGTATGTAATGCTGATGGTTTGTTGTTGATAGCTGGTATAGGTGTATGCCCGATTCTTCTCTCTGATCTTCAGTTGGGTGACGTAGTGTGTGGAGGAAGCCAGCTGTGGCGCCTGGTACTGGGTTACCGTTTCCGTGTGAGTGATAACGTAAGGCACACAGTCCGTAGTGGTAACGCTGACAGAGGTCGGTACAACATCCAGGAGAGTGACGGTGGAGACGACGGTGCTGACCTGCAATCGAGTGCTCGTCAGAGACACAGACGAAAACTCCTCTTGACACGCCTTCACAGGTAAGTCTGGCTCAAGTCCTTCGCAAGTTGCAAACAAAGAGAGGGCCGTCCAGAGAACCAAAGTCTTCATGTTGAAACTCATACTGA